GTCTACTGTGCAAAGACGTTCTTGTGGCTATTCAGTGAAAAAAGGTTCCAGAATAGAACAGTAAAACATTTACCTACAATTATATGAATAGGCTTATAGAAAGTCTAAAGGGATGTTTTTATTGTAGTAAGTGATTATGACTCAGTGAGATTTCTGGTGATCTTTGTTTCCTTTTTTGTACTTTTCTATACTCTTTTTTTGTTGTTGTTGTTTTTACAATGAGTACCTAATTTTAACAAAAGAAACACAAAGCCATCTTTGTTTTAAAAAAGACAGGTCCTAAACATGTTTTTCTTTAAAAATAAGCAATATATGTAAATAAAAACAAGTATCTCTAATTACATGGTAAAAAACAAACTAAACTAAAAATTCCCTTTATTTACAAGTTAATTTTTAAATTTAAGTCTCTGGACAATTTAAAGTATTTCACAATAACTAAACATGTTTTCATTCATGGCTTTATCACTATTGAGATTTTAGCTCCTCTGAGGGCAACAATTGTAAATTATCTGTGAATTCTAACTATACCAGGTATCATGAATATATTAAATACAAGGCACAGTAAATGTTAGCCATGGTGATTCTGACTGGTACTCTGAGACAGCCTCACCTCCAACAAATGTTGAACGAGATGAGTCCACAGGCATAATAGGCCCTAAAGCTCCCAGTCATATCAATCAGGAATTATTTATACATCCAATATTTTTCCTTCTAAGGGGAGGAAAAAAAGCCAAAATAGTCTAACCATAAATATGCTCAATCTTTTTAGAAATCCCTTCAAGTATCAATACTTAATATAAATAAGAAAAGATACAAAAGTTAAGTCTTTGTGTTTGAGTAACATGTAAATAACTGTAAGTGGCACGGGGTTTTTTTTTTAGATTTTTTTATTTATTTGAGAGAGAGAGAGATCATGCAAACGTGCACAATGAGGGGGGAGGGAGGGGCAGAGGGAGAGGGAGAAGCAGACACAGGGCTCAACCCCAGGAAATTGGGATCATGACCTGAGCTAAAGGCAGATGCTTAACCGACTGAGCCACCCAGGTGCCCTGGTTTTTTCTTTTGATAACTGGGGAATTACTAGTTGGTATCTCTAGAGATCCTTATTTACTCACTGACAAGCATTTATTTCAACTACTCTAAACTTAAAATACTTGCCCCTAATTAAAAGAATCTATTCATACTGCCACGGTGTGAACCTGGCCTGAACAGGGCAGTCTCCCAGGATCATCTGGGATCCTTTGGGATCATTAGCTGCATGAGGGGACCACAGACCCATAGTAAATGCTCATTCTTTTCACAATTAAGTTACTGTTATAATATTATTGCTGCCTCAATCATAATCAGATGATAAAATACCGTAATTCAAAGAAATTGATGAATCCATACTGAGCAATCAGGCCTTGCTTGCTGGCCCACAACGATGGCAGGCCGGAACTGGTGAGGTGATCCCAGGCTGAACCTGGACTGGTTCGTACACGAAGGGAGGGAGGCTCCCACCTTAAATCCTGGGCGCACCTACTGGCTTCAGTCCGCTGACAAGTTAGCCTCCACTAGCTCTCCTTTTTTTGGAATCTCTAATTAAATGATAACACTATTGTGTAAAATATAAATTTATATCTGATGTATTATACATGTTATATGTGAAATAAATTCCATAATAACTGTGAATAAACAAAGTGTAAATCCAAAACATTTCTAAGAAACTGAAGAGCTTAGCTTCAAGCACTGCAGCATGCCCTCGTTTAGGCCAGCAGATGTAGCTGTGAATTAAAATAGGGAATGTGAACTGCTCTCCTTCAGCCAGTAGATGGCACCCTTCTTTTTTTTGAACTGGGTTTATAATGATACTTTAATATGATTCAAGGTGGCTACCAACAATTATTTGACACTGGGATTGATTTTGATTTACCTGAATTTACCTAGAATAATCATATCAATTATTTATTGAGTGCAGAGACCTGGACCATTTCTGTCCAGCATTTTCTAAGATTGTTTTCTTTAGTCATGGAAAGATATCATTTCCCAGGACTCAGGACAATCTCACAATTATCCTCAAAACTCTCTAAAGGAAAACTGAAATGCAATACTGCTCTCCACAAGACTCAGAGTGGGTCATATAATAAGAATTTGCTTAGAGAGTCTTAAAACTGAAGGCGTCCATGATAACAGTCTACTGGGGAGCCCTGTCTAGGCACAGTGCCTGGCTCAGGGTAAGCCCACAAATGTCTTTTGAATGAACAAATTAATAAACACTACTGCTTTTAAAAGGTGTGCCCTTGAAAAACTATCAGTGGTTCATTTTTCTGTGAGACTTCTCAGATATGGATATCAAACTGCTATTCCTAATGACCTACAGGAAGGGGGACAGCACATTTGTATTCTCACGTTTTCGTTAAAGACATGAAGATATAAAAAGATTCCAAGTGTCCTTATATTCAGCAGTGCCAATCAGAAAATAATTTTTCTTGCCCAACTATTTTATTTAGGCCATAAAACAAAGAAGTTCACATTCTAGAAACTAGAATAGCACCGGATAGTCCATAAAGCCCAACTTCTTGAGCTTCTTAATCTAAATATCTTCACTTTGTTGGTCTATGAAAATTTGGATCGATTCATTATGACTCTTCTCATTCAAAGGCTATTTATATTTTAAAATATCTTAAAACTTTATTACTCAGTTTATGACCTACATTACTAAGTTCTGGAAACATCACCTAACAATTCCATGAAGTCAATATAAAGTGCTAACAGACCATGATTTTTACAGAAACTAAAAGCTTAATAACCTTATTATTAAGTATTTCATGCCCTCAAGTATATTTCACATGTAGTCAAAGAAGTTTTGTGAACTTCTAGGCAGCTGTGCTTCATTTTTAGCATAAATTAATAAAAATAAAATCTAGCACTATTTTTTTTAAAGGTAGTATTACTGTTAAAGCAATACATATTTAAGAATATACAGAAAAGTAAAAAAAAAATTCACTCCCACACCCATAATTCATCCACACATTTATAACGGACATATTTCCCCCAGTTTTTTCCACCTGTTTTCAAATAACTGCTCTCATATTATATATACAAATGAATCCTGCTTTACCATTATACCCTAAGCATTTGTCTACTGGAGATGAAGGCTAAAAGAAGGCCTTCTCTTTTCTAAGGAAAGAATGGCCCGGTCCTATACCTGAATGGTATTAATCACAATGATGGGAGATGAGGCCCACATTGAAGATACCCAGGAAAACCTGTCAAGTTACCAAGAATGTGTGGATCACATCACGATCAAAACTGAATTTACTACCTCCTTCCCCCTCATTCTGGCTCCTTCCAACTACTCATTTATTTCCAAACTTAGCTAGGGGAGGTAACATTGGAAAAAAAAAAAAATCTAGGTTCTAAAGACTATCAGACTTGGATCCAAATCTTGACTCTGTCAATGACAAGCTGTGTGATCTCGGACAAGTGACTTAACCTCTCTGAGTCCCAATTTCCTCATTCATAAAATGGGGGATATTACTAACTGCTTCATAGTTATTGTGAAGATTAAAAAATCTGCTATGCCTAAAATGTCTGGAACAATGCCTGCAATGGAAGGAGAGATTTTATACTGGTCAAAAGCAAAACTGAGGTTAACAACAAAAATCATCCAAAATCTTCAGTCATGGGTTTTCTAACTTTTCCAAGTAAACACAACTTTACTGTTATAAACAATTACTAGCCAGGAAAGTTACTTTAAAAATAAAGGTTAGTCAGACTAGAAGAAAAGCAACATCTATCTGTCTATCAGTATACTTTGAGTGAAAAGTACAATAATGCCTATGTTCAGTTATGATTAAACCAAATATAAAAAACTCAGTAATGCCTATAAGATTACTTATCACTCCCCCTCCCTTACAATGTCCCCCTCTCTACAGAATCACTCCCATCAGCATACTCACATGCTGTTAATTCTCCCAACTTAAAAACAAAAACACAAACAAAAAAACACCTCTTGATCTCAGTCCCCCTTCCAGCTATGACCCCCATCTCTTTCTTTCCCTGTAAAGCAGAACTCAAGATGTGCCTATACATACAATCTGTCTCCTCCATTCCTTTGGATCCACTCCACCCAGGCTTTACCGACCAAGGACTGCCACACTGCTAACTTGGCAAACTCCTGAGTCTCATCGTACATGATTTAACCCCACTATACACCTTCTTCACCTGGTGTCCAAGTCACCATTCTCCCGGTTCTCCGGGATTTTCTCCTTTGGTAGGGAAATCTCCCTCGCTAATTTCCTCCGTATTTCCCAACCTCTAAACCTTGGGAGTGCCCCGAGCTCCTTCCTTGGACCTCTTTTCTCTTTATGTTCAATGCCTTGGTGAGCTCATCTGGTCTCCTGGCTTTGAACACTACCCATATACTGAAGAGTCTCAAATGTACATCTTGACCTTGTACCTCTCCTCTGAATTCCAAACTTCTATGTCTAACAGCTTGCTTGACTCACCACTTAGCTATCTAACAGATATTTCAAACTCACAGGTCCCAGACTGAGCTCCTGACATTATCCCTGAATACCTGCTCCTCTCACACTGGTTCCCATCCATCTTCCAGCTGCTCAGGCCAAGAGCCTTGGGGATCCTTGACTTCATTTATTCTCTCACCTCTCACATCCGATGTATAACAAGTCCTTGTTGGCTCTACCTTCAAAATATATCCAGAACCTCTTTACCTCAACCCCCTTGCTGCCACCTATTCCAAACCACCGTCAATTCTCACCCGTCACACATGTGCAGCCTTGTCCACAGAACTTCCTACGAGTAGTTTAAAAAGAGCCAACCATTCCTAATATACAGCTTTTCAGCTTGGGGTATAAATTACACACACACATACAAACATACACATACACACACACACATACACACACACTTCTTGAAAATCAGGCATATTTAATATTTAGACCACAGAAAGTGGAACAAACATTCCAGATACAAATTACAGGACTGTAGTTACTTACACTGTGAACTCCTAAAGCTTTCCAGACTGCGAAGCTGATCACACCAACCCCACACCACGCGTAAAGTGAGCCCCAAGCCAGGGCTCGCAAGGCAAGGCAAGACCCGCTCTCTGGTAAGGTGGCTGTGGCCATCCTTCCCTGCAATGAAGATAGGAAAAAATCATCAGTTCAGAAAAAGTAATTATTTCAGGAGTGTTTGAAACTCATAACTCTCTGAATGTCACCATAATTTTGGGAAGCCAGACCAACCCAAGTCCAAAAAGAAGCTTTGCTACTTAATAACTGCAGAGAGGTCACAACTTCTCTGACTGACAGATATTTGAGTACTCAGGGCCTTGCCAGGAGCTGTGCTAGGTACTGGAGAGAAAAAGGCAAATAGAGTAACTTCTTTCTGACTAAAGATTCTAGTCACTGGGGGGTGGGGGGGGGGGGGGGGGGGGGAGGACACAGACACATAAAAGTTAATTATGATCTAAATGGAATGTGCAACAATAGAACTATACACACAGGGCACCACAGTCCCAGAGGAGGATACCTAATCTGTTGTTGCACTTAGAGGAAGCTTTAAGGAAGGGTTCTTCAAAGAGGTGAGCTAATCTAAGTCACTGCAAAGACTTTTAAATATATATGCAAAATGCAGGGCATGTAGTAGAAACCCAGCTTACAGCAGCTATTCATGAGAAACTAGAAAATAAATGATGACTCTCCTCTTGGGTTTCAAGGAATCATATTAAGGTAAAAATCTATACCATAATTAACTGAACAACTTTCAGACTATCAGCATGCAAACTTGACTAGAGAAGAAGAGGAATGCAATGCATGCTTCAAAAGGGAATAACCACCCCATCACTGAAAGCACCGATTACTGATTATTTTCTTCCAAAACTTTTCTTTGCTGTTTTTGCCTATTAATTCTCCCAGAAAAGCCCTAAAACATTCTGTCAAGATTTCTCTGAGTCCCATTCATTGGCATTTTCATTAGAATGTCATCAAACTGATTAGCTAATGTGATAAGATAGCAGATTTATAATGTTTGGTCTTTCCTCTGGAAATAAATTTCCATTTACTCAAGCCTTTCCCTTTTTAGAATAATTTTCTTTATATTGCTCAACCCATTGAATAAAGGTTTGTAGCATGTGTGCTGTGATTACGAATGGTATTGGTGACACACAGAAACACTTGGTTTACCTGTATTTTCATGTCTTGCACCGTGCCCTGACCCAGAAGATAGTATTTGCTGACTTAACACTTGTTAGTAATATACCTGAGACCCAACCAGATTTTCAAGAGGTGTTTCTTTAGTTATTTTCTATGATCAAAACAACATGCTCTTACCCCTTTTCTCACATTGCTATAATTTCTGAGTGGTTGTCTAGATATCACAGATCTCATATAAATTCACTAACTTCTAACTGGCCTGAATTTTCATCCAGAAGCAGTACCATTAACCAAATATTATTAAACCAGGGTCAATTTAAGTGCCTAAATTTTATTTTAGAAACTTAAGTTAAAAAATTCCTTATTTCCTTGGGAAGGACAAAAATTATATATGTACTACATATGTACATGTGTTTTTAAAAGCCACCTTAGCTTACATCTTCCTCTGTTTACTCCATGAAGGACAAAGAAAAATGAATGTTCGTTCAGTACTTACTACTGCCTTTCCATTCCCAGTTTTCTAGCCTGATACTTAGCTAAGACAATGCAGTTAAGACTTTGAAGAAATGATGACCATCCTCCTGAAATAATAGCAGTGTAGGCAGTCCCCAACTAAAAGCTCATTGTCCTGAGCCACAACCTGAATCTGTATTATAGTTAATGTCTAGATTCCAGGCTAGTGGACAGAAGTCTATTTAAATAAAAAATTGTTAAAAATAGTGTAATTTCTTCTCCAAAAATAATCAAAGATGGAAAGAGTGCCATGGTGGGCAAACTGTTTAATTTATGCCTCAGTTTAATGGGGACAACATAATAACAGCATCTCATGCAGTTGTGATGAAGGTTCAATGAACCCTAACCCTTAAAGCAGCAGCTAGCACATGGTAAGCATTCAAATGCTAGATATTATTATCACTATTAATGTCAGAGAAAACCGCCAGGCAGTGACTCTGAAGTACACTGCCTAAGTGGTATTCTTAAACCAGTGCTTGCTAAGTATAAATGCATTAACTGCTCCAGAACCTCTGAGCCTCTCAAACAGAATCTGGATCAATGGTAATGCTCTAATTCAGATGTTTTGCCAGAGGGGAGGCAGAACTTTACACAACATATTTAACCATCCAGAACAGTGGTTCTCAAACTTTCTGGTCTCAGGATCCGTTTATACTTGGATCCCAAATATTTCTGATTATGTGGACTATATTTATTAATAATTAATATTTTAGAAATTAAAACTAAGAAATTCTTAAATTTTAACTATTAATTCATTTACAAATAAACCCAGTATAGATCAATATAAACCTATTTTTATGAAAACTACCTTCCAAAACAAAAGAATTTAGTGCAAGGAGGCAATGTTTTACATTTTGATTAATCTCTTAAATGTTTGGCTTAACAAAGGACAGATGAATTTTCATAAATGCTTCTGTATTCAATCTGTTGCAGTGTTTTTTGATTGTAAGGCTGGATTTTATGCAGATTCTTCAGCGATCTGTGGTTGGAAAAGGGACAAGTATTTTAATAGCCTTCCTTCTTTGATGCTCCACCAAAACTTCCCAAATAGCTGCATGCACTCTGGGATCTGAAGTCACACCGATGAGTTTTTTGTACTTTGTTACATTAAAATCCATTAGTCTATTTTGTATTTCGAATGGACCTTTTATCCATGCATTATGATCATTCAGAAAATATTGATTCACCAAGTTATGCAGATCCTTCCAATGTTGACACCATTTATTAAATATTTAAAATTTCACATCATTAATATTACCACCAACCTCATCAGAAAAGCCTTTACGTATTGAGCACCTATTAAGCTGACAATGGTAGATATAAGTTTCCTAAGATCTAATTTTCACTTGCAAGCTCCAGTTTTATCATTGGCAACAAATACTGACAAATGCTTGCTTAAAGAGACGACACAGGCTCATTTTGTTCATTTTGAAGAAAATGTCTGCCAAATACCCACTTATAGTCTGTCAGTTCCTCTTTCAAATAAAATATGATATTACATGGGAAGAAAAGCAGCTAGTTCAGCATGCAACTTAATCACACCATTGCTTTTCCTGGAGAAAAACGTCTTTCTCTGATATAAATCAGAAGGGCTTTGTGCGTACTTCCCATTTCTTCACAGGGAATAGTAAAGAGGTATAATCAAGGGTTAAGATTTAATAAAATCAATAATTCTACTGCTATAACAAGGACATTCTTATGCAATGAGGTTTTTTTTTTTTTTTTTTTTTTAAACTACAGACGCACAGTAATGAAGAACACCATGACCGCTAGTACAGTTGGGTACCACTGCCTTGATTACACTAAGGCACCAGCAGTTTTACCCCACGTGCTTCTACACCATTAGTGCAAATGCCTCAATATTATTATGAAAAGAGTTTTGACTTTACAGGCCCCCAAAAGAGTCTCAAGGATCCCTAGGGTTCTACGGACCACAGCTTGACAACCACCGTGTTTGACAGGGCATGTGTGGCAATCAAATCTTAGAATCACAAAATAGAATGCCAAGTTGTAAATGTGGGTATGTGTTGTTTTTTTTTTTCCCGAGAATCCCTAGCTTTCATCAGATTCTCAGAAAGGTCTGTGAGCCAAAGGTTAACCTGGTAATTTAGGCTTAGAAATGAATGCAAATTCTACTATTAAAGCATCACTATCAGTTAGGCTTTACTGATTCCTTCTACAAGATATATTTCTGCACTGAAAATATTCTATAATACAGGGTGAAAATGACCACAAGTTTCATCACAGTGATTTGGGTAGCTCCATTTAAGCCTTGAGTATTCAGATGGGGAACAAAAGCACCTTAAATGTGGTCTTTTTCCTTTACAGTACTTACAATGCTTAAGTACGATATCAGATTATTAAAAATATAAGTGGAAAGGGAACTCGACTGGTTTACGATTTTTCACATAACACTGTTCTTCCAAGCAAACATCAAATTATAATTATGTAGTTAATTGCGTCAATATTTAATATGTCTCCTGCACCAGATGCTAGCTTCCTGAAGGGCAGGCATTCTGTTCATTTTTGTATCTCTTGCACCTAGCTAGCACAATGCCTGACACATAAAAGATCCCAAGTTAACATCTGAAGCAATGAGATGATGGCTAAATAAACCATACGGGATAGAGAGGGCAGAGAGAGGACAATACATGCAAACAAGTAACTCCAAGTCTACAAGTCAATGAGAAGAAACACTCCTCAACAACTGGGGTATGACCACATGAGTGATTACTCAATCTTGCTCATGGAGTTAAGAATTTTCTGCCTTAAGAAGCTTATAGTCATTCAACCCAAACTGATTGAGCACTTATGTGTCAGGCACTTTTCTGGGGAGCGGGGATGAAGCAGCACAAAGCACATGTGATCTCCGGGCTCAAGGAGCTGATCCATGCTCTTCATCAATGATAAGATGCACTTTACTTCAACAATTGAACATTTTTGAAATAGAAATGTCTCTGGTGGGGCGCCTGGATGGCTCAGTCAATAGAACATGAGACTCTTGATCTGGGTGGAGAGCTTAAATAAATAAATAAATAGAAATGCCTCTAGCAATCAGTATTGTGTCAAGAATTTAACTGGCATCATTTTTTTTCCTTAGTGGTGCATAAAATACTGGGGCCTCTTACAACTGATAGGGAATTACCCAGATTTAGACTTAGTCATGCTGTGAATACAAAATGTACTGGATGAGCTTTCAAAGTCTTATTCTGTTTAGGGCGCCTGGGTGGCTCAGTTGGTTAAGCGACTGCCTTCAGCTCAGGTCATGATCCTGGAGTCCCGGGATCGAGTCCCGCATTGGGCTCCCTGCTCGGCGGGGAGTCTGCTTCTCCCTCTGACCCTCTTCCCTCTCACGCTCTCTATCTTCATTCTCTCTCTCTCTCAAATAAATAAATAAAATCTTTAAAAAAAAAAAGTCTTGTTCTGCTAAAATTTAAGAAAAAGAAAGCACATAACTAAATACTTCTTTCTTTCTTTTTTAAAGATTTTATTTATTTATTTGAGAGAGAGTGTGCACAGAGGGAGAGGGAGGAGCAGGCTCTCCACTGGAAAGAGCCCCACATGGGGCTTGATCTCAGGACCCCGAGATCATGACCCGAGCTGAAGGCAGACACTTAACCAACTGAGCCACCCAGGACTCCCTAAATACTTCTTTCTAAATGAAAATAAAGACCACTGATTAATTTGTACATTTCTTGAATCTATGAGATGTATACAGGTTTACTTCTTAAAACAATATGAAAGGCCACCAACATTTTCTTTACTTCTCCTATGCACAACAGCTGCCAATTATCTGTAAACAATAACAATGCTATAAATGGATTTCCGTGTCACAAACCTTATTGAACCATTCAGGGCTCTTCTTTTTAGCCAATGATAATGTTGTAACAAACCCGGCTAGCATTCCTGCTGCAGCCACAGCACCAAGGAAAACTCCACCTGCCAAGAGTTTTGGGGGTAGGGCGTGGAGGGTGAGGAGAGAGATTAAAGAGAGGGAAAAAAACAAAAAACAAAAACAAAACACAACACAACACCTTAAGAAGACGTACGCAGGTTCAGACACTATTTAAATTACATTTTAAGTCACTTTTGTGGAAATTTGAGAACGAAACTAGGCGGCTCTGGCCATAAAGGTAAACGATAGCGGTGCGAAACCTGCGTGACCTCATGACCCCTGGTTCCTGAGATCATTCTGCGGGACCGTTCCCAAGGGCTGAGAATTGGCCCTGGGTCCCTTCCCCTCTTCCCGGGGACGGTCTGAAGTTTCTCCCGGGGAGGAAAACAAGCTAGTGGAAGGTAGGGGAAGGCACAAGAGAAACTATAGAGCGGATGGGGGAAATACAGCACACAGCCCCAGGAAGACTCCATCCCGCACGACCCCTGACCGGCCGACCCCCACCAGCTAAACCCAGGGCAATCCAAGGGAATGTCTCCCCAGGGCGGGGTGTGTGTGGGAATGGCGGGACCAGCGCAGGCCCCGGAAGAGCTCGCCCCGACACCAGCACCTCACCACACCACACCTTTCACCAGGAAAAGCCGATCGTCTGTGGATCCCGGAGTGTCGAGACCAGCGGACGGCGGTCCAGGCCCCGCACCGGTCGTCCCCATGTTTATAAGCCTCCACTCCTGGGTCCGACGCCAACTGGGTTCGGGGGGAAGCGAGAGCGAAGCGGAGGAGAAAGGTTCCGCTACCACCTCTCCCTGTGCGTTCTCAATACTGGTCCCGGGAACGGCTGCTGACCCCAAACCCTCTCTCCTCCCCCCACCGACCCGCAAGGAAAACGTGGTGGCTGCACGTGGGTGTCCCCACCCCAGCCCCGGGGGGTGGTGTCCTCCCAGGCCGCCTCCAGGTTGGGCCGTTTGCCTGCTCCAAGGTGATTGATGGTCGCCGCCCTTGAATATTGCGTCTCTCTGAAACAGTGCTCGGCTCTGACTGTAGGAGGCAGTGAGCGGTTGCTGATTGCGCCGGGAGCCCAGGGCCAGCCGGGTTCGAGACCCTGCAGCTCCGTTTCCTGATCAGCCTTCCGTCACGTCCAGGGATTTAACCAGCGCTAATATTTCACGATTCTAAAAAGCAGGTCTCCGTCTTCTCTCTGTACTTTTCTGGGAAATTTCGTAGCAGCGCTCACTTGAGGTGTAAGGGACAGGTTTTATCCGTGGAAGAGAGTCAGCCCGACAGCTCCGCTGTGATACGCCTCCTTCCCCGCCCTTTGATTGATGGACCTACCAAGAGAGGTGAGGAACTGAAGTGAGTGAGCCAAACCAGCGGGGACAGCTGAGGACCACCCTGCGGGGCTGGCTAACACGGACGGCGAGGCTGCGCTAGAGCCCTTCTTGCCGGGAGACGCTGGTGCGGGCCGCCCCCCGACGGGGCTGGGGCTTCACAGCCTGGGAGGCTGATTTGCCAACGGCGGTGGATTCCATAAATGGTCACCGAGAGGAAGAGGCTGGAAGTCCTAGAAAATCTTTTCAGCCTCTCAAACACCGACACATGACATCATCTTTTAAAATGAGACGACCTGTCATTTGTTCATTCTGAACACACGCACAAAAGCCATGAACTTCTTGAGGATGGGGATGGGGATTTTCGTTCAATTTTAGATTCTCTGGCTGTCAACTCCTTACCTGGTCACATGTAATAAATTTTGGGTGAATGAGTAAATGGATGCATTAGTTCATCGCAATTAGTAGCTCAAACCTGGGTTCAGGTCCTAAGTCACTTCTCAGCTGTGTGAACTTGGCTGAGTTATTTAGGCTCTTTGCCTCAGTTTCCTCATATATAAAAGAAACTGACAGTGCCTGCCTTATAAGTTGCTGTGAGAATTAAAGGAAGCAATATAAATAAAGAAGTTAGCAGAGTGCCTGGCACAAAGAGATACTCAATACATGTTAGCTCTAGCTATCATACTTTTCAGTTCCAGTAGCTGTTTTGCAGCGTTGCCTATGGAAATTTTTAAATTATAGATGCCCAAGGCCTACCGCTGAAGATGATTGCTCTGAAAGTCCAGGCAAGGCAGTTTAAAAGCTCGGGGCGGGGAGGGGGGCGGCTCTCTCTCTCTAAAAAAAAAAATAATAATAATAATTAAAAAAATCAGGGGTGCCTGGGTGGCTCAGTCAGTTAAGGTCCTGAGATTGAGCTCCGCCCAGGGCGGAGCCTGCTTAAGATTCTCCCTCTCGGGCGCCTGGCTGGCTCAGATGGTTAAAGCAACTGCCTTCGGCTCAGGTCATGATCCTGGAGTCCCGAGATCGAGTCCCACATCGGGCTCCCTGCTCGGCAGGGAGTCGGCCTCTCCCTCTCACCCTCTTACCTCTCGTGCTCTCTATCTCTCATTCTCTCTCTCTCAAATAAATAAATAAAATCTTAAAAAAAAAAGATTCTCCCTCTCCCGCTGCCCCTCCCCCCTAAAAAATTAAATAAAAAATATTTTTAAAAATACCTCCACGGGAGATTCGGATGATCAGTCAGGTTGAGAGCTACTGCTCTGTTCAAATTTCTGGGTGGATGAACCACACAGAATTTATCTAAACTGTGGATGCCTTGGAAACACAAGGCCAGAGTCTGAAAAGCCCCTTTCAACAGGCAAACGCTGTGCTAACCTATTTACAGTCTTTAGGACCCATCCTTTCTCCTTTCCCTCATACAAAAGGGTGATCACAGCAGCTAACGTTTATTGAGTGCTTTCTATATGTCTAGGATGGTGCTAAGTGCTTCAAATATGTTATCTCATTTAATTTTCTTCATAAACTCAGACAAATTAGCTTGCTCAACTCACACAGCTGTTAAAAAGCAGAGCCAGGATATAAAAGCAGCTCTATTTTTAAAAGCAACAAAAGCAAAAAGAAATAAGTGGGGCTACCACAGGCCAAAAGCTTCTGCACGGCAAAGACACCATCAACAAAATGAAAAGACAACCTACTGCAGAGGAGCAAATATTTGCAAATCATATACCTGATAAGCGGCTAATATCCAATATATAAGGAACTCATACAACTCAATAGCAACAAGAAAAAAAAATGACATACATGGGCAGAGGATCTGAATAGACATTTTTCCAAAGAAGACATATAGCTGGCCGACAGACACATGAAAAGATCTCTCCATCATTAATCATCAGGGAAATACAGGGCACCTGGGTGGCTCAGTTGGTTAAGCGACTGCCTTTGGCTCAGGTCATGATCCTGGAGTCCCAGGATCGAGTCCCACATCGGGCTCCCTGCTCAGCGGGGAGTCTGCTTCTCCCTCTGACCCTCTTCCCTCTCGTGCTCTCTATCTCTCATTCTCTCTCTCTCTCTCAAATAAATAAATAAAATCTTTAAAAAAAATCATCAGGGAAATACAAATCAAATCCACAGTGAAAATCACCTCACACTTGTTAGAACGGCTCTTATTAAAAAGACAAGAGATAGCAAGTGTCACCAAGGATGTGGAGAAAAGAGAACTCTCCTGCACTGTTGGTGGGAATGTAAATTGATGTAGCCACAATGGAAAACAGCACAGATGCTCCTCAAAAAATTAAAAATAGACCTACCATATGATCTAGCAATTCCACCCTGGATATTTATCTGAAGAAAGTGAAAACACTATTTTGAAAAGCTATACCCATGTTCACTGTAGCCTTATTCAATAGCCAAGATATGAAAACAACCTCACTGTCCATCAATGGATGAACGGATAAAGAAATTGTGGTATACATATTTCATGGAATATTCAGCCATAAAACAAACGAAATCTTGCCATTTGCAACAGCATGGATGGACCTCAAGGGCATTATGTTAAGTGAAATAAGTCAGACAAAGAAAGACAAATACTGTATGATCTCTCCTATATGTGGAATCTACAAGAACAAACAAACAAAATAAAAATTAAAAAAAAGAACAAACAAAAAATAAGCTCATAGATACAGAGAACAGATTGGTAGTTGCCAGACGCAAAGGGGTAGAGAGTAGGAGGAATGGCTGAAAGAGGTCAAAAAGTAAGGAGAAAATAAATAACTAACTAACTAAATAAATAAATAAATAAAAGTAGTTCTGTCCAAGTCTTTATCCCCACCCAATGGTCCCTAAACTTGAGCTAGATAACTGGAATTCCCCCAAACGGCCTCCCTCCCAGAGTTTTTGATTCAGTGGGTCTGTGCGGGGCCTGAGAACTTTCATGTCTAACAGGTCCGCGGGTGATGCTGATGCTGCTGGTTAGAGAGGTCCTCCCTCTGCTTTACTCTTGCAGTTTACACCTCTTAAAGCCACACCATCCGCTTTAACACTTGGAATTCTCTTCTCCCAACACTGCTCAGAGAGAAAATGTACAAGCTCCCCAACTCTCCGTCTTTGCTGGTCTCTCCTCCCCACCCCCCCGGAAAACCACAGAAATTTTTTATTTTAAGAATTATATTACTATTCACTATAAGGAACAGAAGAGAGAGAACACGTGTTTATTTTTTTTTAAGATTTTATTTATTTATTTGAGAGAGAGAGAGAAACAGCACGAGAGGGGAGAAGGTCAGAGGGAGAAGCAGGCTCCC